CATGCCATCACCGGACTTGTTGGAGCCCAGCAACAACCTCAAGCATCCCCACCGAGGTAACACCGCCCCGGACAATCTGCAAAATGAACTGGGCAAGCGAGCAGACTGCAGCAGACTCTTTTAGGGCTCGGTCTCAAGAGTCCCGAGCGACCATCCAGTAGTCCGCCCCAGAACTCCGATTCGACGGCCCTGTGCACGGACTTGCTTTCGTTTCGGGGTAGGCCCGACTCCTTGTAGCCCGCTATCACAGCACGCATGGTGCGAACTCCCGGCGGTTCCGCACTGGTGAGGGCAAAGCTGCGAGGAAGAGGATCTAACAATATGAAATCATCAATAAGCAACCCTGCTATCTGCCGCCCCGCTCTGGGCGGTCTGCCCTGAAGACAGATGAAGTCGGCCAGCTCCACCGCTCGAGTTCTCAGCAGCACCGCCAAATGGGAGGTTTGCCCGTAGGCGACTGCATTCAAGTCGCCCATCGCCATGGTGTTAAGGCTCGCGAGCACCTTGTGCCCTCGAAGAGCCTTAGAGCAGGCGCTCAGTTGAAGGACGTCCTGGTAGTCAAATTCGAGAAAAAGCACGTTCCTTCGGGCCCTTTGCTCACTCACCACAAAAGCATGATAAAACTCCTTCAGGTCCTCCGCGTAGAACTCGAAGTCGGACTCCGGAGGGAGGAAAATGAACTGGAACTGCTCAAGAGTGCCCAAAGTTCGGATCCAGCGGGTCTCCGAAGATTCAGGAAGATTCAGCCAGATTCGGAGGCCGTGCGTCAAGCACCATCCGATCCCTGGCGTGATCCTTGGCGACCCAAAAAATAGTCCGTTGCGCAGCCTGGGCCTGACATCCTCCTTTCTGAAGAGCCTGAGTTGGCCGGGCCCGACCGGTCCAACAACTGAAGGAGCTCCCGGGTCTGCCGCTAATCCGCTCGCACTGCAACTCGAGGGACCGGCTCGTCTGGCTCGACCTCCCGCGAGAAGTCAAGCGGCCTCGTGTAAGTAGCTCGGTTGCGGCTATCCAAATAGGGAACAGGATCAAAAGAAGGCTGCCCGACGAAAGTAAGCCGGCTGGGCTCTACCGGCAACACGCTGCACGGGGCTGAAAAGCTAAAGAGGGCCTCGGTCTGCGGGACACCGGCGCGACGCAGGCAAGCCTCGAGCATGTCGTAGAGACTTTCGAACTTGGCTGCGGTTAGTCGGAGGTTTTTCGGCCCAAACGGCCCTGAAGTGTTCCAGGCTCGCACCCCTAGCCTCAAGGATTCAAGGGCTGCCAGCTGGCTTTCATTCAAAGGCTCGCCCAAGGCCAGGCGGTGATTGCTCGAGGCCTTCGGAGGTTGCCCCAAGAACAACCAATCAAGAACAAGGACTACTGCATTGAGTCCTAGCTGCTCAGGGTCCCCAGTGCCACCGGACAGAAGCAGCTCTGGGAAAAGGCAGGGGCATCGGCCACACGCGTCGACCCTGCCGAGCACCGGAAGTGCGAGGAGGCCCTCGCTCGCCGCGAGGTAGGAGCCGGATGGAATGAAAAAACGAGGAAAGAGAGCACTTAGCCCTGCTCACCGAAAGGAAAAACTCGGACCACAACTCTGAAGGCATCACGGGTGGCGCTCGGGCGCCAGGACCCTGCTCGCTCGGAAGAGAATTGCCTTAATTCAGGTGTCGGAGCGGGACACGAACTTGCTTTGCTACCACTCACTCGAGGGAAGATGAGGCACGGAGGTTCTCTGGCCTCGAAACACAAGGGCACCTGAGCACTCTGGCCTAAACTACTTGAAACCTTATCGTACATCCGAGGGACAGGGGGGCCTAAACCACAACTAGCAGTTCCCGGTGAAGAAGGCTGAGCCTGTCTGTGCAAAGAGGCTGCAGCGAAAGAAAACTCGAAAGAGGCGGCAAGCGTCGGCGCCCAAGCTCCGCCCGCGGACAAGAAAGCATCACGGAGTCGGCTAGGACCGGCTAGGAAAGCACAAACTCTGACGCAACCCTGGCTTCCAAGAAGGGGAAACTTCGGCAGCTTGCAAAAGAGGCGGCTCGGGCCGCAAAACGCTGATACTTGAAAAGAGTAGGCAGCCATTGCTCAGAAGCAGGGTCCCGGGCATGAGTCACTTGGCGGTCTCCTTCTCCTTGTCTTTGTTCCCGCCCTTGCCGGCTTTCGAGAGGAGGCTTTTCGGGATCCCCTCGACCTCCGCCCCCGTCCACAGTGGGAGCTGCAGGAGTCCCGGACCCAGGTCCGGTCAGATTTTTCTTCGCGGAGTGGAAGGCATCTCGCTCTCGAATCCTGGCCATGAACAGCGAGACCCATCGTGGGTTCCCAATCTATCGCGCTCTGATCGAGAGCCGCGATAGCCAGCAGAGCAGTTGCCTTCGCTTGCTCGGTGCAGCCGGAGTTTATCAGGTCGACGATGGTGGCAAGAGTCCAGCCCTGGCGAATCGGTCCTGCATAGGACTGGAGGTGAGAGCGGTGCTCCAGCCATCCCCGAACTGTCAAACGCCGCTCGTCCTGATGAGGACCCGTCTGGGCCCCCACGAAGTCTTCCATCATCAGGGCCTCGATCGACCCGGATATCTGCTCTGGCGATGATCGAAGGATGCCACGGAGCTTCAGGTAGGCCGCCGTCTTCGAGCGCCCGCCGCTGCACATCTCCGCTGCTGCCCTCCGCCCTCTCGAGAAGATCCTCCAGGTCGTTCTTCTTCTCTCGCTCTCGCTGCATGGCCTTGGGAACCTGCCCAATCTGGACGACGGCCAAACTCACTCGATCTCCGCTGCCACCAGGCCCGCAGCGTCGTCCTGGGACTCGTCTAGCGGGTCGTCGCGGACCAAAGGCAATCGCGCCCGAGCTTTCGTCTTCGCCTGCCTCCAGCACAGCAGGGTCGAGTCCCGCGAGAAGGGGTCGCTGGGCCGGGCTGGCTCGTCCTCCCGAGAGATCGCCAACCCCAGCCACCGAAGGAGCTGTAGCTTCGACACTGAGGGGAGCTCCATCCAGAAGAGGTCGGAGCCCTTCTTGAACACGCTGCATTCCCGACTCCAAACGGGTGAGTCGGTTTTCCTCCTCCCCTGCAAAGCCCCCTTGCACGACTTCCTCCGCCGGAGTCAAAGCGAAATGCTCCGAAGCCATCGCGGAGAGGGAGGGGCCATACGGGTCCAAGCGCTCCTGAGATCGTCCACCGCAAAGTCGACGCACTCCTCTAAACCCGCCTGAAGCATCCCCAGCAAACCTTGAGCTTGATGCCCGCCCTTGCACTCCTCGGCTGCAGCGAGAACTTCGGCCAACACCGTCCGTGACAATGCGGTCCTGGGAAGATAGCGACGCCCTGCAGTCCGATGCCAGGCTGTCTGAGGCACCCCAACCAAAAAGGCCCCGTCGAACTCGGCAATCACCACGATCGAACATGACACAGTGGGACCCTCGCTGCTCTGCACTCGAAGCTCACCGATCCGAGGCCTGGGTCCCTCCAACGCGTGCTCCCTCAAACGGTTAAGAGCGGGAGTGGCCTCCCGTACAAGCTCCTCAGAGCCAGCGTGGCTGGACATCCAGTCCACCAGTCGGTCGGCTAGCTCAGATCTGCGACCTGCAGGGCTTCGGCAACCTCGGCTTGCGTGGGCAATCCCACAAAAATCGAACGGCCCTTGTCAGGCCCCCGGAGGCAGAGCGCCTTGCAAGGCGCGAAAGATGAGAAAATGCAGGGCTCGGCACAGCGGCGCCCCTGAAAATCACTAAGGACCACGTAATAACGGGAACTCAGATTGAGAGCGCTGCGCCCCGAAGGCCTCAAATGACCTCCCTCCAAAGCCCGCCGCAAGAACCTCCCAACCTCTTGGGCGATGCTCGTCCGGTACGGAGACGTAGGCGCACCTGGATTAGCTCGCGAGCTTCCCTCAAGAAAGCAGTCCTCCGCCAAGTCAACGGCCAGTGCAAGATCCACCTCCCCAGGTCCTGGCCGACCGGAAGAGGTGCTGGGAACAAAAGGGGCCTTGACGTGGAGCTGTCGGGAAGCGAAGGGCCAAAGTCCAGACAAGAAAAGGCCAACAGCTCGGGCTCCGGGGGCACAAGTTAACCTGGGAACCTGACCCCCAAAGAAAATCCCGAGCAACAGTCAAAAGAACCCCAGCCAAACCTCCCGAGGCCCCGCCCGCTACCAGAGGCAACGGTCTCACACACCTCCAGGAGGTCTTCCACCAACTTCTCCTCTCCAGCACGATCACCCGGGCTCTTGAAGGGATCTCCACGCAACGGTTCAGGAGAGATCTCGGGGCCCGGTCGCCGAACAGCAAAGAAGCTGGCCCACTCGCAGGGCACCGTCCTGCTCATATCCTCCTCGGCATAGGTCAGAGAATGGTCTCCACCCTAAACCCGGAACACACGCAAGGCCGCTTGCTTCAAATCATCCAGGAGCGAACTTTGAGAGAGGATGTCCATGTAGTCGACCTCCTCTGGAGACCTTTGAAGGCTTGCCATCAAGTTGAGGAAGCTTCTCTTGAAGAGGGCCCACGCCGGCCCCGACGGTGCAGCGCATCAACTTGCCTGCAGCTCGCTGGCATCACCCTCTTCAAGGCGCGCCTCCCATCCTCGATGCACAAGGCCCGGCTGCTCGGCCCTCTTGTCCAACACCCGGCCATCCTTGTGGAATGTCCGGTCCTTGCACCACGTAGACTGCCGCGCGAAGGTCCGGTGGAAAGAGAGACCATCGGCAGCATCCAATAGCAAATAGCATGGCTGACGGGGGCAGGCCCACCGGTTAAGCCACCATGTCCTCATACAAGTATTCTTGCAGTCAGGATCGCACTGGTCTCACGCAAGCACGGAAGAGAGGTCGTGACCCACAGCGGCCACGTCATGATACAGGGACTGCCGAGGTCCACGGAGTTGGGATTCACCTCGTCCCACTCCTTTTGGGAGGAGCTCGCCGGGGTCGGTCCGCGTCGAGGTGGCTGAGAGGTAGCCGTTGGCGGAAGAGGGACCTCTTGCGGAATGGGTCCTTCCGTCTGGCGCGGCATCGCCTTGACCTTCGCCTTGTTCTTGGCTCTGGCCATGATGTCCACTGGTTCCTCCGGCACAGAATTCAATTCGCATGGCGCAAGCATGCACCTGCCGCAACTCGTCCGCCGCAACATGCTTCGACTGCCTCTGGCGGCTCCTTTTCGCCCGTTCGACCAGGGCTAATTCGAAGCAAAGCAAGCGACTGGATTCGAGGATCATCATCAGCATAGCATTTCGCCGGTCCATGCTCAGATAGTCGCAACGCAGGGGTGGAAGTCGAACTGCACATCGACGTCTGCCTCGAGCCAGTAGGCGCCGGTTCAAAGGACGCACATACAACGTCATGATCATGCACACTGGGTCCAGGTTCAGCAAGAGGTTGGGGTAGCTTCTAGCTCAAAACGAATTGTCTTGCGCTCTGGCTGCACACGGACTGGCACTCCCTCGGAGAGAACACGCAAGCTCGCAACACTCGGATTGACATGACACTCGCGAAGAAGTGTTTTCTTTTGTATTTCTGTGTACTGGGAGAAGGAGCCAGGCTTCAGATCAAAGGCGTCCTCAGGCAGTCCGAACTTTTCTCTAAGCTGAGAAGGGACCTCAAATTTTCCTCCAGGCCACTCCAGTAAGGAATAGACCGGTGACCCGAGGGAGGCTCATTGAGCCGGGATAGATCCTTGGTGAAGCGGATCTCCTTGGCGGACAAGTCGATAGTCGTGCCCATAAAAGTCCATGAACCCGGTGCTCAGCACAGCAGTGGGCGGTATGTCCACTGTGAGCACCACCATCTGCAGGACTCCTGAGCAGCCGCGGCACCAACACAACCTGTTCGACAGTGGCCTTGCCTCCTCTCTCGGACGGCACCGCATGGCACATCAATCTTCACCGCCTTCAGCCCAGCTGCAGCCCAACGATGAGACAGGGCACGGATCAAGTCTTGGGTGGCTCCAGTGTCGACAATGGCTTCTCCAGACGGCAGCGTCACGTCAAGCCGTTCCATCGATCATGCTCTCTCGGCCCGAAAGTCCTGGGCAGCCGCCAAGATCTCCTTTCTCGTCAAGAAAGAGAAAGCCAAAGAGGATGCATGTTGCGGGTCCGGAACGTCGACGAGGCCGCTTGCAGCTCCTTTGTTCGGACACTCCGCGACCCAGTGCCCCTTCTGCCCGCATCCTCGACACTTTGAGATCTTCTCCAACTGCTCCACGTCCTCGAGCTCCGCCACGTTGTTCCCGGCTCCGTCCTTGATCACGACCAGCGGGTTGGCTGCCGTTGTGGTTTTTGGGGGGAGCGTCGCTGCCCTGGACGAAGGAGCCCCCCTCCTTTCGCATCTCGGCCTTCATCATTCGATTTTCCCTCCATGAGCGGCGCTTCTTGAAGGCACCACTCCAGCTCTGCAAATAGTCAGGTCGAGAGCCTCGAGCTCGGCAAGTACCTATTATGAGAACGTCCTCATCGCCGAGCGTCCTCTTCCTCCAGCTCCTCAGAGACGAAAGTGGGAGCATGTGGGCCATCCGCACTGTTCCCTCGTCCACAAACCCGATCAGCCGGTCTGTCAAGGCGGCAAAGAGCTTTGGCTACCAGGTACGGGTCTTTGTCGTCCTGCTTGAGGAGAGCCACTAGGTTCCGCATGCTTTGTTCGCTCAGGGCAGCACCTTCTCGTAGCATCGCCGCCTTGAGCTCCGGAGAGGTTGAAGCCAAAAAGTAGTCGCAGGCTCGGTCATCACCGCCTTGAAGGCATCCTCTTCTCCGGCTACGTGGCGGGGCCCAGCTCCTCCGGACGGCGGCGATCAGGCGCTGGAACCAGAACACGGTTTTTCCCCTTGTTTAGGCACGGCGAGAAGGTGCTTTGCAGCCTGGGCCGGCAGGCTCCAGGCCGACATGGAGCACAGAACGCCGATGAGCCCAACCTGCAAAGCCACGAGTCATTCCACGAGCCGCCCCAGCCGCCATGAAAGCCCGCACTTGGGGCTGATCAGCCGGTAGAGCTCGATCCTGAACCGCCGCCGCCGCAATGGCCGGCACTTTCGCGAGCAGATCTTCCAGATTTCGCAGCTCGTGTGACATTCACCGCCTGGGCCCCAGTAACCCCAGCGCCACTAGGTCCAGTTTCGGCCGCCTGTAAGACCCAGCTGACCCCTGCCCCTCTGCCAGCCGGTCCATCAAGCATTGGAACCCCACTACCACGAGCTCCATCCCTGCTTCCACCAAGTTGAGCTCCAGCCTTGCCAAGCCACATCACTCCACTCGTCCATCGAGTCCAGGTTGGCCACCACGGAACCAAGGCTCGCGCTACCAACTGGAGAACTCTCTGAAGGCCGATGCAAGCACCGCACGGCAATCCTTTTCCCATGCTTCGTCCCTTAAGCGTGGCAGCACTCTTCAGTCAAGAGAACACTTCGCTAAAAGGACCCTATGCTTCGTTTCCACAGGACGCCGTGTACTTGAAGTCTGGATCTGGGTACCTGACTCCACCCAAGGTCTGCTCTCCACGGCCATAGAGTGCCTTTGGACAGAGTGCATGGAGAGACGCTTGCTGCACAAGCCAAGTTGAGCTGCAAGACTGCACGCCGAGCCATTGCAGCGCTGACCTGTGTTGCTGTGCATTGGCTGCAGTGTTTTGCAACGGCGGCCTTGATAAAGGTGCCGGCAGCAACTCCCATCCCACCATCAAGAAGATTGAATGCATCGTCAAAGGCATTCAAAGATTGCGGCCTCAGCAAAACTCGGGAACCGGTGCAAAAGGGACTCACAGCGCACTGTCTGCGGGCTCCAAACGCAAACTCTGAAAGAGCTCGGATGAGATCCCTCTCTTCCTGCGACATGGAGAAGGGAACGGCAGTGGAAGCGCCAAGCGATGATCGCCTGCCCTCGTGAGGGTCCGGCAGCCGTCTTCGTGCCTAGAAGGGCTGACATTACATGCTCAGTGTGCTTCATCCGCCAATCCTCTCTTGCTCAGTTTGCAAGCAAGGGTCTGGTGCCACTCTGCCTCAACAAACGGCACTAGCAAACAATGGCAGAAGGTGATAAAGGCCATTGCCATAAGCACGATGTGCCAGCTCCGCAACGTGGCATGTCTCTGCATGTGCTTCATGTGTCAAAGTACCCAAGGCACTGAAGCAAACTGGAAGAATGTACCGGCCTGAAAGTCTTTCGCCGAGCCCGCACCTTGACAACGTCATAGGCAAAATACGTCGTCACACAGTCCTGAGCTCAGTGCCCCATCCACCTGGATGGCAATGGATGCCTTCGCTGATCGGAAAGTAGCGAAGCGAACACAACAGCCTAACAGCCTGTGGGCCGTGTGGGCCGATTGCCTTCTCCATCTCCGAAAGGAGGGCTTCTTGCCTTTGCACTCTGCCCCAGCATACCCGGCTTTTCCATAAGAGTCACAAGACGCAGGCGAAGCCTCCAAAAATGCTAGTCATCCATGGACATATCGATTTGTCGAATCATACCGAACTATCGAACGATGCAGAGCGTCCCGAAGTGTGGCTCCTCAGGCTTGTTGTCTAGATCAGACCTCGAACTGCCGCGGCATAGGCTGCGCCGACAACCCAATGCGATTGCGGGGTGAATGACGAAGACTGGTGCAAGGGCCTACTGTCCCCACATCTGCTTGGCAGATGCTCAGGGATCCGAAGGTGAAACTCTTGACTTGCTTCTTCCTGTGTCGAGCCGAAGTGACAATGTCGCACACTATGCTAAGGCCGACAAGCAAAAGCATCAAAGGCAGTTCCAGTTCTGCGACGGAGGCAACAATCTCCAAGATTTTCCAGGCAAGCTTCATCCTTTTTTACGAAAGCTGTCCTGCCAAGTGAACCTGCCAGGGCCCGCAGGTTGTGGTTTTGTTGCCCTCGTCTCATGGCTTCGTCCTTTCCCAACTTAAGACACCAACAGCACCTGACCCTCTGCCATGTCAAACAAACCAACAAGTGGCTAACCTCGCTCTTGATCACTTGCAATGATGTCATGGAAGATGTCCAAACTACCCTGCCTGCATCCAAAAAGGTGGCACGATGCTTAACCGGCTTAACTACTCAGTTTCATCATCGAGCATTTGCCTGAAAGATGCTCACCGTTTCCCAGCAGCCACTTGGCACATTTGCAGGACAATTCCCTCAATTTGGGTCGCGACTGTGCTGGGTAGCATCTCACCCGGCGCACGTGTTGCTACCTTGATCACGTTGAACGATGCCACCCTTTGCGACAAGGCTCTTCCAGCTTCCGCGCATGCAGCATCGAAGCTTGGAATCAGGCTGGTACCCAAACGGATCTACAAGTCAAGACACTGCCACCGACGAGTCGCAGCCTCAACGATCCAGCTCGCGGTTGCATTGTTGAAGGCAGTGCAGAGACGATAACATTCAAGGGCAGGTCATGACCCAAAGGCGCCACGTACACTGAAAGCGAGCTTTGCTCAAATAGGGCATAGACTGCCTCTTTATTTGGTTTTGGAGATTTTCGTGTGACAAGAGGAGCATCGCCAAGTTCGGAGCTGTTCTGCACCTGATGTATTTCCCAAGATTCCACTCGCCAACAGCTAGGGGAAACTCGGCGAAGCTCTGAACATTGATTACTATTGCACGTAAGTCTATACATGAAAAAAGCGTCGGGCATGCGAGACCTGCAGAGAACGAAACAGTGCTCTATGCACGGCACAGTCCTAACACCGAGACAAACACAGCCTCTGCGGTCTGCAAGGCCCTTGAGATGAGTTGAAATAGGGCCAGCAACAGTTGCCAAATCATCTCTGGTCTCCTCCGCCTTCATCGGACTCGAGTTGACCTCGACTCTTCCAAGCGAAGCCGCATGCAGACAGAAGGCTTCCAACTGCATGCCCTCAAACTCAGCATCGGTCCTTACTGCGTGGGGCATGCCTCCTTGCGCTCCTGTCTAAGCAGGCAGGGAGACCGCAGCTTGCCGAAAGCATGCTGCAAGCATGCTATGCTGTGTCCGAGCACAACCAACGAAAACACCAACAACAGTTTTACCAACCAATGTCCCGCATGGCATGTTTTCAAGCATTCTTTCTGCACTGCTTTGCAAAAGCAGTCAAGTTTCGAAGAGAACGTCTTTAGCCTGCCACTTATACATACACACACTGAGGCCTATTGTGACGGACGCACACGGTACTGGAAGTGTCGAACTAGTGCGATTGCTATCGCACTATTGCTGTTGCTATTGCTGCAATTTGCCTCTGTGGTTGCTGCTTCTCGCGTTGCTGCTCCTGCTGCGACCACGACCACTACCACTACCACGGAATCCCGTCACACCACACTTGGTCCTCTCCGGTCTTCTTCTCCTCAGAGGACTCCTGGCCAAGACGCAGGAAGAAGATGCACAGCTCAAGCCCGAAAAACAGGAGCGACAACGATGTACGGTTGCAAACCTTTTTCTGCCAGCAAGCGTTAGCTCAAGGGGCCCAAGTCGTCCTCAGCGGCTTGCTGAGCATATTCTTGGAGCCTAGCCTGCGCTGCGAGAAGGTGCTCCAGTGCCGCGCTGGCATCTGCTGGACATAGGCGGATGGCGTCCTTCAAAAGAGTTTGCAAGCGGCCGAAGCGAAGGTCTCCCGAGCGCTGCGTCAGAAGAGAGCATGGTCGGCTTTGGGAGGTCGATGCACTGGCGGAAGCAGCAGGTTCGCTCTGCACCGGTTCCATGCTGTCTTCCGAACTGGCAGGACCTGGCACTGGCACGCTGGCGTCTGTCTGATGTGCCTGTGTAGTTCGCAGCGTTTGCTTCGAGACTTGCAGGACGATGTCCTTGGCAGTGAAGAAGCTGAAGCCGTTGTCCATCTCGAAATACAGAGTCGCAACAGGTTCACAGGTATCTGATTGCTTCACACAGTCGGCATGTTCGCCAAAGAGGTCCAGGTAGCCTTGAAAAACAGAGCCACGCTCGCGGTCCTTCACCATGCGGCACTTGTCGACACCGAGGAGTCTCACGGGCCGGTCGGCGCAGCGAACCTCCTGTGGCCTCCTTGAAGAAAGCTTCACCATGAAGTCCAGCGTTAAAGAACTTTCAACAGTACAGACCCAACTGACGTGCTCACCCTTCCGCAGCAAGACCTGCCGGGTGGCCTTGGCTCCCGCCTCCAGCTGCATCGTGTCCCTGACCTCAGAAACAACGCAGGCGACGCGGCTGTCGAAATATCTCGATGCAGCCACATAATGCCACATATTCAGCCTGGACACCAGCTCTCCAGCAGGCAGATCGATGGCCACGCAGCCCATCGAACTTCCAGCGGCAGGCCCGCCGCCGACGGTCCGGGAAACGCATCCCCGATTTTCTGCAGAAACCAGCAACATGGGACTCGGGGCTGCCGTCAATCATCGCCGTGCTACGTTTGCCTGGGACCTGGGAAGCTGTGTGACGGTAGCTGAAACATGGTGAACTGCTTCTTCGGCAGACAGTCTGACGTACTCTGGACCGGGTATGCCGGGTACCTTGCCTGATGTTTCCTCCTACCCCATGCCCGGAACCGATAACTGTGGCGTCGCAGGCTCTGCCAAGAACATGCCTGCAATTGAACCCTGACAATTGCTTCTTGAGGCCTTCGAAGCTGCTCGCACCGGGGGCGCACTGGGGACCTTCATGTGGCTCGAAGCACGCCCAAACCTTACCTTGCAGCCTTCGCGAGTTCAGCCAGTGCCTCACGCTCACGCTCCCGAACTGGCGGCGGAGGCGGGGCTCGGCTGGGGCGGCCTGCAGGCAGCTCCAGCGCAAAACACGTGAGTCGCCAAAGGCCAACGCGCACGAATGCGAGTTCACAGCCTTCGTCATCGTCCTGGCGAAGTAGAGCTTGAACTTGTTACAGGCACCAAAGATTCAGTGGACTGCGACAATTAACAGTGCCCTTTCGATTGGTCCTCTTGCTGGGACTCCTTGGCAGTGATGAAGCACACATGCTACGCTGAGACGAAGCAGGCCAAGAGCTTTGAGCGATTCGGGAGCCCGACCCGGCTCTCACGGTCACGTGTCTTCCGCTCGCGCCCAGCCTGTCCACAGTTGCGAGAACAAACCTCCTTCTTCCTGCATCGTCATCTCAAACTGCATTGCAGCCCAAACATTTTGTTGGTGGCTTGCTGCGGCCGTGTCGAGTTTGGCCCTGCGTCTTGAGCTGGGCATCTCGCATCCCGTCTTTCCAACGTGCCTTGCCGAAGTTGGGCACCACGATCGCACGGAAGCTCCGGATCTCTTCCGGAACCTGACTTTTTTTGGGGGCTGTGCAATCGGCGAGGGATCAGCAGTAAAGCCTCCTGGACAAGGCTCCGGTAGCGCAGCAGGTCCTGCAAAAGCCCGGGACTAAGACCGCCCACGATCTTTCCCACTGCGTCTGGCGATTTACAGGTCCTCTTTCTCGTACAAGTATCGAACTCAGCACCAGGTCTTTGCTTCAGAAGGACTTCGTCACTACTGCAAGATTTCTGGATTCTTGCCAAGATTTCTCAAGAAGTGCCGAGCCCTTGACGGTAGTCTGGTGCCTGCCACTCTGTGCACGAATTCAGCTGCAGGACACGAATTGAACGAAGGACCTGTGCTTTCTCTCGAGTTGGCGGCGGAGGTGGCGGCATCGTCCTCAGCCCGGGAGCAACGAGCCACTCAAGTTCGCTTCTTGAGCAGGCGGATGTGAGGCTCGAACTGGTTTCCACCCTCTCGAACGACAGCACCTGCAAAGACGTGCGAGTAGATCAGCGCAGCGAAAGCTCCGGTCATGCGCTCGAACAAATCCAGTCAGTCAGTGAGTCAGTCAGTCCTGCCTCTGCCAGGGCCTTGCAACAAGCGTGGAAGGAAAACACAACTGCAAGCGAGGAAAGCACTGGTGGCCTCTTGGCACAGGCCTGAGGCACAAACCACTGTGAATAAGCCGATGCTGCGTGGAGAACTAGCTCAACGCACTGCTAGGCTCTGCACCCCTCGTTTGGCGCTTCTGACAAGAATGTCGGGCCATTGATGTGGCGGGCCTAAGGCATTGTTTGCGGTAGCATGTGCTGCGCAACATCCAGAGAAGCCAGCTTCCAGACACACCGGCGCAGTTTATCGATAGACAAAGAAACTCCCACAGCGACGTGGCCCTTGCTCTTGTCGGTTGTTGGTTTCTTCTTCATTCGGTGCAGAAGAAAGTCTCAGAATGCTTGGACGATGTGTAGGCTCCCCCGTTGCTGCAACCATCGAATGCCCTACCGCTTTAGCTTGTTCGCACCTGCTGGCTATCCACCAAAAGCAAACGAAAGATCTGCAAAGTCGAACTGGCACCTTAAGAGCTTGAGGACTGCTTGACTTGTACTGGTTGTTTTCTACGTGCCCGAGCCCTCTAACGAAGAGGTACAACTTCGATTTGCTTACCGGTGGCTTTGTGAGTATGTCGGATCGCGCCGTCTGCGCTGGTCAGCACCAACACGGATTGGCCAATGACAGCTGTCGGACTGAGACTGCCGGCGTGGACGGTCACCCAACCATCTGGCTCAACCTCAGCCACGGCAGCCACACACTTCTGCCTGCATCCAAACCGAAAGATCCGAGACAGAGACTGGCATCCTCACAAGGCCGTTCGGCAGCATGATGGTCATGTCGCGTTGCGTGAGAACCTGCCGGGAAAAACGTGCGCCGGCCATGGCCGTGCTCATGCTTCAAGACTTACCAGGCCCACACCATCCTCGCCTCCTCAAACCCCGTTACCGTGGTATGCAACTTCGCTACAACCGAAATTGCATTCCCGCCACAGTGCGTGCGCGTGCTCCGGCGTGCAGCGTCTTCTCGCCTCAGCCTGCCTGCCGAAAACAACGCTAACGCGCAGGCTCCGGCCACAGCACGGTGCACATCTTGCTGCTTGCGACTCGAGTTTGCACCTTCAAAAATCATGATCCTGCCAACACGTTGGGATCGGTGCTGTTGTGTTAATCTGGCTGTCGCCAGCAGTGGGGTTCACGAAGGCAGTCTTGGGAGCTTCGGGAGTGCTCCTGAGTGTCTTGGACTTCGACTGCTCGATGCTCTTGGGCTCTTTCACTATTTGGGTTCTATGCTGCCACTATATTGTCGTATGTGCTCCGTTGTCTGCCACCTTCCTCTCGGGCCCCTCCTGCTTTATACAGCCCGTTCAGATGTATTGCTGTACAAAAAACAATGTGTGCGGAAAGAGAGGCTGGATATCCAAGAAGGCAGACGGCCCCGAAGGTGCGAGGCCAGCAAGCCACGAGGCCAGGAAGCCCAGACGTCGCAAAGCCGTAACTATTATTTTGCCTCGGAGGCAATTGCAGACCTGTAGCACCGGATACCTGCACTAACTGGATTGCATTGCACCGCATTTGCTGATCTATACATCCCTGAAACAGCCTTGAAGCCGGTTGCTGCGTGCTTTTGTCTGACACATGTATGTGCCGTCAGTAGCTCCGCACTGGCTAACCGGTCCATCCCGCCCGCCTCCCCTGGATTCAGCCTCCGCAATTCTCGGCTTGTGACCTCTTGCGAGGCACGCCTTCAGTCACTAAGTTGCTGAAACCATCCATGCAGCAAGTTTATACCGCTCTGCACAATCATGTCTCGGCTCCAGACACGATGACATCGTGGAAGTGGTTGCTCTTCCTCATCAGCATGATGTGAAAAAAGGAGCTGGCAAGAGAGACCCCCCCCGAGCGCAGAGCAACACCACCCACACCTGGCCCGGGCCTTCGTGACATCAGAGGGGCCCTCCTTTGGAGGGCACAAAAATCTCCCAAAGACCAAACTGAGGTCCGTGCGGCCCTCAGGTGCTCCGCCCCTGGGCGAGGCAGGTCACCCGCTGTGTTCCAGTCCGGTGGCCCTTTTGCCGGTACATATCATAAAAGTGAACACGGCCCATAGGTTATGGTCCGCATGGCACACACACACACAAGCACACTGGGGAACAGAGCTTTGAGCAAAGAGAACTATAAGCCTTTGCCTGCAGTGCTCTATGGAGGCACTGCAAGCTGCAGACAATGGACACCAAATTGAGCGAAAAGGCTCGGTAGATCTCCAAAAGCCGATCGACCGGCAGATTCTGAGAAGCAAACCCGGCAGGAGGAGCTCGCGCGGGAGGCGAAGGTTGCTTTGCCTGCCTGGGCACGCCGACACTCAATGCGAGAACCATTGAAGAACCACATGAGCGGAGACTTAGCCACTGGCGCTTGCTGCATGGCTGGCCGAGGCTGCGATTGCTGAGCTTGTTGCGCCTGGTTCTGCTGCAAAGCCTGCGTTGCAGAGATGTTACCGAGGTCAAGAGGGCTTCAAGATGCTTCAAGTCGCTCCCTACAGCCCATCTTTCTGGAATGTTGGGCCCTCCAAAGACAAAAGCCTTCCTTGCCAAGCGCACCCCAAGAAAGTTCTGATCCGGGTAAAGCTAAAACTGAGAACAAGTAGGAAAACAGGAGTCACGAGATCCACCTGCTCATGTAGACATACCTGAAGCCCGAAGCATCAAAGGAGCATTTCCGAGGCATTCCTCACTGTCGGGTGCCGTTCTCTAAAGACAAGGCGCCTGTCTTTGCTGCTGCTGCTGCTGCTGCTGCTGCTGGTCCCTCTGCTGCTGCTGCTGCATTTCTCGCTGCCGCTGTTGCTGCAGCTGCTGCTGTTGCTGTTCTCTCTGTTGCTGCAGCTGCTGTTGCTGCTGTTGCAGCTGTTGTTGCTGTTGCTGCTGTAGCTGCTCCCTCTGCAGCTGCATTTCTCGTTCACGTTGCTGCTGTATTTCTCGCTGCTGCTGCTCTCGTCGATTCATTTCAAGCTGCTCGAGCTCATGCTGTGCCGCCATCCTCGGTCCCAAGCAGAGAGCAGCGACAAAAGTGCTTGTCTAATTTCAGCTCAGGCACTGCTGCTGCTGCTGCTGCTGCTGCTGCTGTCTGAGCTGCTCCTCTTGCACTTGATTCCTTGGCTGAAACTGCACGGGATCACGTCTTAATGAAGTCAGTCTGAGGGCAAAGCATTGCGCCTGGGAAGCACGTGCGGCGGTCATGTTCGGACTTTGAGTCGCTTTGCAGCCCCGCCTTGGTTCCCTCTTGCCTGCCATGCGGCACTCTGCGCAAAATACAGACGGGTGCTGAAGACAGATGCCCATCCTGCGCCATGCCCATTGGCGGAATCTGCCTGGGAAGTAAATCTGCTCTCCATCAATGTGCTTAACTCGAGCCCTGGGGTCACTGCTGATTGGGTCCCATGCCAGACAGCTTGTTAGCACCTGGGCCGGCTGTAAAGGATGCCGCTTCGGCAGCCCCTGCACTTTGCACACCATGCCGAGTCCTCTGGCTGCGCATGGCATCGACAGGATTCCGGTTGCCCTCGCACATCAACAGACTAGTGCTACCATGTTTTCGCAGCCGCGTAGCGGCCATCAAAAATCAAGGCAAGAGGCCTGCATCCCAGGGTTGGCATATGACATGCCGCCGGCCTTCGGCATGCACCCGCAGAAGATGCTCCCGTTGCTCAGCGGAAAACTAGGACATGGACGTTCATCATGGCATCCATCCTGGACCATGCACAGCGACACATCCATCTCAGTCGCTAGCTGGTCCCGTTGCCCTGCTGGCTGCTGGTCATTGCAGGTGTACCGTTTTCCGCAGTGCAGTGCGCTTGCTATCGAGCTAGGTCGGAACGGCTGCCGGCAAAGGCTCAGGGTGCCGCGATGGCGACGCATCCAAACAATATGGAAAAACACCAGTACCTGCAGATCACATCGCGCACAGCACTCGGAACAATGGCACCTGCAAAAAGCATGATGCCAGCGACCGCCAGGTGCAAAAGGTGAATCGCGCCGAAAAGTCAGGCTGAAGCAAAGCCAAGGCACGCGACCCACCAAGCTCGACAGGCAAGCAGTCCTCGCCGAGTTTCCAGTAGACTCCCGCGAAAAGCATCCGAAACTGCAGTCCTCCTCGAGGCACTGCAGCATCTCCTCCGGAACCTCAAAGGGAAGCAAAGTCGAGAAAGGCGCCAAGGCGGCCGCCCGGCCAAGCGACGCATCTGCTGAAATGGATCTTGGTGTAGGTGTCCTCATTCCTGGGAAGAAAGAGACTTCTTCTCTTTAAGAGTCTTTCGAGACTCTAAAATCTCTCGGTGACCCAATTGGGACTGGCGGCAAAAAGGGACGGATCATGGTAAACCTCGCAAGAAACGATGTGCGGCTTCCTTCCCATCTGACAAAAAACTGCAGTCGACACTCACTGTGCTTCTTAGCCCCATGTTCTCGGGTGGGCGAGAACTCGGCCAAGGAACAGGGATGTGAAGTACCACGGAGCATTCACCACGAAAATAGCGGCAACGGAGTCAGGATAGTGCGCTTCATCTATCCTTAGCCGAACGGCAATCTTACAGTCAACCTTTCCCGAATGCCAGCTTAACTGTAGCGCCCCGAACCTATCGACCGAGAGTACGATGGTGATCTTGGCTGAAAATGCGATCACGGGCAGTCCGGCAGCAGGCACTGTGACCTGCTCACGAAGCAAAACCGGAATGTTGGTTCAGACGTCACATGGAGCGCCGTTGCTTGCATTGCCTGTAGCAGCTTGGTCACAATGCAAACGGAAGCTATAGAAAAGCATGCGACTGGCTCTGCTGGTAGCTGCTGTGGCTCTATGTTCCAAAAAATATATACGGCAAAATCATTTGCAAGGACTGCGGAGTGCCTTCGCTTGCGAGGGCACGCAACTACGGTAGTGTGAGCAAGGTGGTACGTCGATTCTTCTCCTACAGAGGGCTCGGGGAAACAAGGCTGATAGCCACAGGATGTCAACTTGTCGAGGTGCTTCCAGACATGGAAGTTTGACATGATCTCTACCATCGTCACTGGGAACACAAGCCTCTCTCTGTTGCAGTAGCATCTCCTGCGTCTGGCCCGCTAGTGTGTGTGTGTGTGTGCCTTGAAGAGTCCATCTTCAGCCAGGTTGCTGGCTGACTGCAGCAACGGCTGAGATAAGGCGCGGGTGAAGGTGCCAAATGCCCAGCCTGATGATGCATCCCAAGTTGGTGAAGGCAGTCTCGATACTTCAAGGGCGTATGGAACATCAGTTGAACGTTGAGCCAGGGTGCCCCTCCATGTCAACGATCAGAACAAACCCGCGAGGGTCCTTGGCGGTCGTCGGCCTTTTCATTTGCAGCAATGTCTCGTCGGCCATGGCATGCAACAGGGTGAACTTCTCGAGGTCTTCAGTCGCATCGAGCACAGCCTGGATGTCCCAAGCTCCGACCCTCTCAATGAGGAGTGGCCGCCCATGTTTGTCTGCACCAACATAATCCTTTCCAGACGGCGACAGCGATGCATGCGTGCGGAGACAAGTAATGCACCAGCTCGAATTCGTGCGGGCATGGCACATACAGCAGGATACTTCTCATCGCGAGCTCCTTTGCACGCCAATCTCTGCAGTGCAGCTTCTCCTCTGTCATGCAGCAGATCAAGGCTGCTCGTGCGAACAACGATGCGATAGTCTGGCAGCACATGTCCTTGACCAAGGTGGCAGCGCGCCAGCCCGTTGTGTCGAGGAGCCTTGCCCGGGCTTCTTGCTGGTCAAAGTTCGTGGCACGGAGGAAGGCAAGCAGCTCCTATCCAGTCCGACCAGGAGCAACTTTCACGCTTTAATGATGGCTCCAACCAGCTCGGCAGCACTGCCTGCTCAGTCACCTCGATGCCATCCCTCTTCAGCTCGTCACCCAAAGACTCAATCTTAGCTGAACCGACCACAGGGCAGGGTGCTGGTGCTTCTGTCTGTAATTTGCAAGACGCTGCTGTTGCTATCATGCAGTGTTTCAGGAATCGTCACGACACGAAGCAGAGTCACCTCAGGACGCCGTGAATTCGCCAGCTCATATCTATCTAACAGATCGCCGTCCGACATAGCGGCGCACAGGTGCAAGCCACATTGATTCTTGCTCTGCTCTCACTGTCACTGCATTGCATCACAGCCCCAATGCCTTCACTGACTGGCAGTCAGACTAAAACAGAGTTTGTCAGGATACCTCTTCATGCTTGTGCCTGATGTGCCTGCCTTGTCATCATGTCGGAAATGATGAGCCCACGAGCAACTGTCATCGACCATGAGTCCACCGCAAAACACCGGGCCTCATCTGCCCAGCGCCTGCCATGTTACCCATGGCTCCTGCAGCAAAAGACTCATTCACCCGACATGTGTCTTAGCGATGCTGCGATGCACGCCAGCTGTGTGCCAGGCCGGGCCCCATCTGGGCCTGTTGCATGGCCTCGAACACGTTCGAAGCTGTGAGCTGCATGACAGGTTTCGTGCAAAGCTTGCCTGTAGCTGCTGCTGCCTCGGAACATACCACGCACAGCAAGCTCGGCAATGCAATGAGCAAAGATCTACCCTGCCGGCCCTGCCTGATCGGTCCCCCTGCTTGACATCCACCTGGCTTGATTGCAACAGCTCAGCTCCATGCAGCCAATGTCTCTGGAACATCTGCTGCCTCCTTGCGACATCTGCCTGACCACACTGCAAACCATGCAGCAAACTTCTGCTGAGTTATGGCACTTAGCACCCGGCCAGTTGTTCACTCCCTGCCTAAGAGCTACGGTCATGAACTGTATCTCCTTTCCAGTGACAAGACGGGTCGGAACAAAGACCCGTACTGGGGCGTCAATGGGCCAAACTTCCTCCAGCTATTTCTACGGGGCAGAGTGCTGACAAACGAAGTTGGCGTTGCAACCCTGAACGGCCTTAGAGCATCAGCAGCTGACTTCTGCAGGCCTTGACTGCTGCCACCTCACGAGATTGGAAAAATCAGGTTTCCTGATTTGTGAACCCAAAGAACTTGGATTCAGTGGTGTAGACGCCTGCCTGGTAGCTGTGGGGGTGGTGCAGCTGGCACGGCCTGCGGGCATCTGGCAACCAGATACAACAGGCAATGGCAACGACCAGCTGGACAGGCCTTCCCACCGTCCGCAGCGGCCTGGTACGGCACACGTGTAGCGCCACGCGACGCAGGAAAAGTTTACAGAGCCTTGTCGCTGAGCTGCAAGTACTCCTCCCGCAGCCTGCCAGCTGGAAGAAGCCACATTTCTTTCAGCATTCTCTGAACAAGCTTCGCTGAGGCTGTTGCGACATCATCTGTATATCTCCACCGGGCCTAGTGCAAAGGCAAACTTTGCTTGGCCTCTTGCACTCTGCACAGCTGGAGCATGTCTGAGCTCCACGGCGTCTCGACATCTACCTGAATGCGAAGACGGGTGAGAGAGCGTGAAGTATGCAAGAAAACTTAAAACATTGAGTCGAGTTGGGTGTCTGGCATTGTACCGGCTAGTTTGAGGGTCGTAGCCTGTGACCGTCCCAGTGCCTCGGGGAATTCTGGCTGCCCAGCTCAGCACCGCGAAGCACAGCAAACCCGGCACGCAGCTTTTCTGGATGCAAAGCCGTAACGGCTGCTGCGCCCCGTTTCTCTGAAGGCCTGCTGTCTTCGCGGTTGCCAAGCATTAGTTGAATTAGGAACTATTCCAAGAGCCAGACAAACGACGCCTTTTACACCAACCCTTGGTCGTGTTGACAGCTAAAGACAAGTTAAAGCTTGCCCGATTTTGAGTTCAACGACCAGGGCTCCGGTCTGGCGTCTCTGATCTCTCACTACCAAGCTCACTACCAGATCGCTTCTAGTACCATCTACGACTTTTGGACTATCACACGCCCTTTCTCATGTTCTGCAGTGCCTCTGCAGTGTCTCTGATTTGGATGGACAGTGGGGGCGGCACCAGATTCACAACATCTGGAACTATCCTGAATGCAAACTGCGTGTCATGACCCCGTCAATACCCAAAACGTCACCAGCACGGCTGCTGAATCACAGATGCAAAACCTCTGAGTCTACAAAGTTATGTCAGAATTGTGCACCCTGCCTTCGTCAGCAAATCAGAAAGCTGGGCATCTGGTTTCTTTGAAAGTGCCTCGATGTTCTCCCCAAGCTTGCTCACCTTGACAACCAGTACTGTCGATAGCACCATCGCAAGAATATCAAGCAGCAGCCATTAATGTAAATAAGGCCGTCTCCTTCTTCCTGGTCGGAGCAACTTCTTGCCCGTCTTCCCACAACCTCTGGCCGTCAACATTCTCGTCGTCAGGGAAAGCTAGCGAGTTGCTTACTACCCGCAGCAACATGTGCCGCCTCCAGTTTCTGAGAACAGAAACCAGTTGAGGGCAGTGCGGTTCTGCGTACTTACTGACATCTCCATGTTCTGTGACAACTCCCGAAACGGATGCTGAAGGCGACGATGACTGGGTTTGTTGAAGTCCAAAACTGAGTGGGCCATCGGACCCGCGGAACCACGGGCTCCTTTATCCTCCGGCCAGAATTTCGGGAATCATGTAATCCTACAGGGAGGGAAGGAAAGGAAAGCCGAAAGATGCTGGAATCCCGAACGAACCAAACTAAAGACCATGCCCCACAAGGGTGAAGTTCCGCACCCTGGCAGGCCATCAATGTACCAAGTAGCTCCTCCGGAATCAAGGACGTCCTGAGATCTCACAGCTCCAACCCGGAAAAAGCATCCCAAGAAAATGGCTACACGGCTACACAAATGGAAGCATGCCGCCAGCTGAGCGCGCGAAAGCAAACTGGCAGCCCAAGCTCTTTCGATTCACAGGATCGTTGTCCCTGGACCTCCCGAAGGATGCTCGGAGGCGATCGTCGCGGAACTGCTCGGTTAAGCGTCTGTTTCCTTGGGTCTGACACAGCATGACGTCTCTCCAAGATCCCCTGTACTAAACAGCGCTACCACTTACATATCGTTGACAACACTATCTTCCAGAAGTGTGTGCCGATCATGTTGTCTCCATGCGGCGAGCTTGTCGTTGAGAAACTGTAAGGGGAGCCTTCGCAGGGATCCGTGGGAGGCGTTGGCAAGAGGGGCACTTTCTCTTTTGCACGGCATAGCAAAAAAACAAACGTGACGGCCTTGGCTTTCTTGTTGCCTCTCTGGCTTAATAAGGGTCCACCACGTTTGGGTGCCTTAGCTGTCCGGCGGAGGATTTAAGCAGTGAGACAGCACCTGAGCTTGCCATGAAGCTGCTGGATCTGCTGGCGCCTTTGGAGCACTCTCTGTCTCCTTCGGCTTTCGCTTCCGCACAACCTTCACCTCTCAGGGCCACGGCTACGCCGAGACTTGTCTGACTCTTCGGCTCCGGCTCCGGCCTTCATGGAGCAGTCATGGCATGAGACAGCTCTGAAATGGCTCGAGCCAAAGACTCCAAGGACTGCAGAAATCCCAACAACTTCCTCGGAAGACAATCCGGACTTCATTCACTGAGAACGAGGAAGCTGCAGTGAAGCTAGTGCCTACAGCAGGGAACAAGCGCGCATAGCATCATCAGGGTCCCGGCAGCCATCCACGTCCGGAGATGGGAACCCCACGACGCGAACCGTACTGCCTGCAGGCTCAGTAGGCTCCTTTAATCCGCCAAGCCACAGAGGCCCGGCCTTTCGGGAGGTTACCCTCATGTTCTGTAGCCCTCAGGCCAGGATTAAGACAATACAGGCTGCAGTCACGAAACATTCCAGGAACCGGCCCCACCGAGTATTCTTTGAGACGCAGTGGTGCACCCTCAGGCGAGGGCGGCGGTCGCGCATCTTGCCTCCCACTTAGGCGCAAAAGGAATGAACATAGCAACTAGGACTGTCACTTCCGGGCATTCGGGCACTTGTCAACCGTCTGAGCAATTTAATTTAGTTTTGCAGCTGCAGACTGATTTGACTTAAGGTGCTGACTGCCCACCAAAGCTGACGGTTGGCGGCTGCCTCGGTTTGACACGTGCGAAATGGAACCTCCGAGAGCAGGCACAAGCACACAGGCTCATCCGGCGAGTGGTCAACCGTCATCAAACATAGAATTTAGGTTTCTGTTGGGCTTCACAGCAAAATCCTGGGGCAGTTCCAAGACCCCAACTTCACGATGGGGGCTGTCTTGCGCGTCGTGGCTTCTGTCTGGGCCTGCACGAGATCGATGTCAAGCTCACATCATCTCACGATCTTCACACGGGTTTTGCACGTCAGTGATTGTCAGTGAACATCAGCCTTCCGAATCTGCTCTTTCAGAATCTCCTCCATGCTCCTGGTGGTCTCCTGCCAGACATAAATCGCACGACGGTCTGCTCAAAATCGTGTTTCGGCCTGCTGTGGCTTCTTTTGTGGTAAAGTCGTCGGCACCTCCAATTTGCATGGCTTTGGCATCGGGATATCAATCAATGCAACTGAACGTCAGCTTGCTCAAGCAGCACTTCTAGGAACCCGATCCTCGCAATATTACTACGGCAACTTTCGTCATGACACAGATGCACGAACCTCAGCCGCTGCTGCCGCCATTGCGAGTGTCATCTCGCGCACTGAGGTTTGACCTTTGTTTGTATTGTGCAAACAGAACGGGGCTGAACCTAACCCAGGATGCACTTGATGCACATCGCACGCCCCGGGCCAGCATATCGTCCGTCAATCATATGGCATCAGGTTGCCATGTGGCCAAAGTTCTGCCTTTGCGGTTCAGTTTTCATATTTCAAGCCAAGCAACTCGAAGGCTGATCTCCAGTTCGTGGCCCTTGTGCCAGCGCCTGCAAAAAGAATGGCAGCATCCTGTTGAACCGCAATCACAAGCATTACCAGATACTTTTCGTATCCAGGGCGTACTAGAAACCTTGGCACTTGAAACCACCTTGCCGCGAAAGCGACCGTGAACTGCCACCACACTTGTCCTGTTGCAGCTGATGCTGCACCTGCAAAAAGATGATATTCGCCCAGCAACATGCTCATGCTGATACTGATGGTGAGGATGGATGACGTCGCTGCTCCTGCTCCTTCTCCGCCTCGAAAGTCTTCTTTCTGCCACAATGACGACCACGACGAAAATTGCACTGATTGCCAAAATTACAAAAGCCGCAAGCGCAACAATATACACGCGACTGGAACACACGATCTGGTATGCTTCGCGCTCACATTCTGAAAATGACCTACCACACAAGCACTGAATCGGAAACAGGGAAACAAAAATTTATAACACAGCCAAATTAAATAAACCTGAACACCTAGGGTCCGGAGCCCACCAGCTCCAAATCCTACCGCAACGGCAACAACCGCAGCGCCTTCGAGGTACTAGGCCTTACTAGGCTGGTTGGGGTCCGGTTGTTTTAGGTTAGGTCTCGGGTGGCTAGGTTCAGGCTGCAAGGGTTCTTAGATTGGAGCTGCTCCACAGCTGGGACTGAAGGATTTTGAAGGTTTCGGGCTGCTTCACCGGCAAGAGTACTGCAGGGGCCACAAGGATTGGCGGGGTTACGAGCTGGGTTTTGCTGCTTCGGGCTTAGTGTTTTCAAGCCTGTATCTACGCAGGCTAAAGCCTGTTCTGCAACATCGAAGCGGCTAAGGACTGTCTCAGCACACTGCAGCGAGCACAAGAAGTCAACACAAGCCGCCGGCTTATACAATCTGGAATGCTCTACGAATACCTCTCACCTTCTGTCCAAACAACAAACACCGCAGGGTCCAATCCGCAATGGTCGGCGAACCTGTCGGAAGCCTCCCGGACCCTCGATGTTTCAGGGCTCTTACTTGGACCGCCCGATTGTTTCTTGAGTGGTTGGGTAGTCTTGGTGCCTTCTTCACTTCTGCCACCGAGTTCTGGCCGATCATGTCAGGCACCTTGGAACTTCGCATGCGCCCCCCCAAAAATAAGCTAGCCAGGACAGCCAGCCACGGCTTGGGCCAGAGCGACACCATCCCCTCCCAGCACCTTCACCTCAGTCTATTTTCCCTGGCATTGTGTACAGGGAATGCCCGGCAAAGGCCAAGGTTCCAGGCATTCCGCGCTTGCGGCCGGCCACCTTCGACAATGAGGTCAAAGGACACGGTCTCCCCCGCGAGGAGTCCTGGGCACCACATCGGCTAGATTCTGCTTCGACCTGAAGCACAACAAAGTTCGAAAACTAGCTACACATGCGCACCCCTGCCTAAAGTAGGGACGTTCAAGCAGGCGTTATGCTGAATCCGGGCCCCGACCGATACGGCCAATCAGATGGGAGTTGTAAACGAAAATGTCACGGCCAAAGTCTGGCACGGTGATAAAGCCAAAGCCTGGCCACAAGAATGATTGAGACTGAAAACAGCAGAGGCAGTGACCACCTTTTCTGGTGTTGTAGCTCTTCACTCTCCCGACTGCACGGTTGGCCCTGCACAACAGGGGAATGCTGCATGTCGCTGCATGTGGGAAACTGTCCCAACTTGGCTTCTCGCGTGACCGGCACGCTGGGCTTCTCCACGGGGCGAGGTGCTGGTCGCTTTATCCCCATGAGAGGAACCAAATGGGTTTCGCCGATCCTGGCCGGAAAGGAAGCAATTCCCACAAGAGCCTACGGAGCTGCTTTGCTGCGGAGCTGCTTCAAAGGTGGCCTTGGCAGAATCTCTTTAAGTTGCACACAGATCTCACTGCTGCCAGCCTGGCAGCCAGACTCAACTGGAGGTTGGTTTACTCAGCCGCACAGCTCCACATTGCAAGCGCGGCACCAGGCTCTTCACACACTGGCAGAACAGCAAAAGTTCCTGCAGGATGTAATCAGCATTCTTCCGCCTTGCTGAAATTCAGAAACTGCCCTGCTGCTCCTCTGTTTCTTTGCGTTTTGCCTTCGGTTTGGCCGCCGCAGCGCGAATGGCAGCTTTGAGTTCCTGGCATGCGGCAAACCGAGGCCCCAAGTGACTTCGGGATGAAGCAGCAAGCCGGTTGAACCTCAATTGCTTTGAGCTTTTCTGCACTAGGCCTCAGATGGGCAAGCAAGTGCAGGCTACTGCAGGCTTGAGCGAGCACATGCGCAAGTCCAGAGGGGCATCGTTTCTTCATGTGCTCAGAGTCAAAATCATACTTGCAGGATGCCGAGGAGGCTAGAAGCCATCCCCCGAATCACCGCTGGATGCACTGTCGTCGTCAGGGTTGTCAATCATGTTGATGCTGTAAAGAGCTTTTGAAAGATGTCTGGGAAACAGCGGTGAGCTTGCAGATGAGTATGCAAAGAGCCGGGACGGCGGTAAATGTCTCACCACTTCTCCATATCTCAATGCAAAGATTGTCGGAAGTGCTTCAAGATCGACCATCTGCGTCAGGAAGAACGCACGGTCCGCTGATAGCCAGCAGAACTGGGTCTCCAGATGCTTGCCGGCCAACCGGCCCAAAACCTTTCGGCATTCCTCACCTGCAGGTGACCGACCGTCATCGAGCAGCAGAAGTGCTTGCTCGTGCGGTGCAATCGTTTCGACAAACTCTTTTTCATCTGCCAGCTCACGCAGGGATCCGTGGCCCTGCTTCTTCCACAGGCTCTCCTTCTGCAGCTGGGCCTTTCTGGCTTCACGCAACTTCTTTAGCTCATCATCATCTGGGCCAACGCTTTCTGAACCTGGTGGTGCCGAAGCAACATGTACAAATGCTGACAAAGGGTCAGCCTTCTTCACTGTGCCATCAGGTCTGAGACACATCTGTTCCTGTGCTTCGGTCGCTCGCTGAGCTGCGGAAATGGCATCTGAGAACTGACCACTGCGGAGTTTGTCCACGAGGCTCTCCACTTCGTCCACATCCCGGGCCGACCCTTCCAGTTCTCGTTCGCGCGGCATCGCGAGTTGTCAGCTTGATAACCTACTTCTTGTGCGATGTAGCTGTGCTGACAAGCCTCTTGTCCTGAGATCTGCTAGCCTAGCGCTCCTGGAGCTCGTTGAGCCGCAAAAACTGACAGCACAGCGTCGAGGGAGGCTCTTCAAGCGAGTGAGAAAGCGGGTGTGTGACCTTGAAGTCCACACCTAACATCACGATCCGCGCAATATTCAGTTGTACCATACAGTACCAAGGCGACTGGACAACCTTATCGATGCTGCTCTGAACATTCTCAATCAGAAATTGCTAAACAAAACTCCATTCTCATGCAACGCAGACCCGAACATACCCAAGCAGCCGAACAGGAGCAGTATTCAGCGGCTACCGGGTACCGATTTCTGCATCTCGACTTGGATGCTTACCCTGGAGCAGCGTTGGGCGCCACAGAAGCCATCCTCGAAAGGCAACGCAGCCGACCCAACAGCTCATACCGACTCATGGACCCATGGAATGCCCGTTTTCCGTGAGGTTGCCACGTATTTGACACGTCCTGACACAACGCCGAAGCAACGCAGGGCCCAAAGAGTCAAATACTGGGCACCGCCTTTCCTCCACTTCACCTGAATCCTTGGCTGCATTCTCATCCGGCACCTGAGCAAAACTCCGCACATAGCACAAGCAGTGGCGAGGTGACGAAGTGACTAAGCTGCAAGCATCCGGAGTGTTTTCCGGCACTGCCTGCACCAGCAAGGCAGTCATATCATATGGGATCTGCTGCGTGTGTCTGCAGAAAGAACTCTTTCGTGTCCATAACTGTGGCAGCATGGGAATCCAGGATGCACTGAGACTCGAAAAAACCATGTAAAACAAGGCCTCTGCCGCCGCAGGAAGAGAACCGCTCTCACCGAGCCTGTGGGAAAACGCTCAGCAGAGGAGACTTGACTCCACACTGACCACCAAGGAATCCAAGGACCCGCGCTCTGCCATCGCACCTTGCACTTTTGACCTTTTGCGCAAGGGACTGCCGTGCACTGACTCGGCTATTTTGCCAATGCCAAGGTTCTACGGCACAGCTATGTGAACGTACTATCACGACCGGTGCCTGCACTCTGTTGTTGCGAAATTGTCAGAACAAAATATGATCACATTGCGGCGTTTGCAAAGTTCAGCTGTCAGAGGTTTCATCCCACTTTGGCTCCGGATTTCCAAATCGTGCTCTCGTTTCGGAGTCCTTCTGAGATCGGGTTTAGACGGTTAAGGGCTTATCGGGCGTAGGGACGCTTAAGGCGTTGGGGGTGTAGGGTTTATAGTTTTGGGTTTGTACTTCTGGGCTGTAGGGATTCAGATTCAGGTATCATGATTTGTGCTTGAGAATTGGTCTCAACAACTTCAATGCCGGCGCCGTGAGGAATGCTTGCCAGGCGAAAGTGTCTGGCATCTTTACTCACTACAAAAGCCAAGCCTAACGAGACTCAGCTACATTAGCCATAACCAAGTAGCCTGCCGCTTTCAGGTAACCAGATACAGGAGTGACAGGCATAAAAGTGGATAGGTAGCGACATAAGCAGGTCGGAAATAAAGAAAAAAGCAAACGATGCGTGTAGGCGGCCAAGCAAGTGGGCAGGTACATGGGTAGAAGATGAAATACACGAGAGAAAAGCTAATATTTTCAAAGATCGACCAACAGAAAGCTATCACACGAAGGTGAACAAAAACTGGCAACACACGACAAATTCTGCAATGTGGAGATAGTAAGTAACGTCCGCTCTAGAACGCAACCTTTGCAAGGGCGACGGTTTGACGGCAGCTTGCATGATCTAGTAGCGAAATGCTTTTGCTTTCGCCGCTGACTATGGAGTCCGTGGATCTGGATGTCGGGGATAGACCCGAAACGCAACCGTCATGCTGTAAACCCTAAGCCTGGAAGGTCGCTGTACACAGAGAACAGCACGCTTGCAGTCAGGTCTGCTCTGCAGACCCTGAGCTCTTTTGCATGAAACCCCAAGACCGCAAACAGTCCAAACCCGAGGCCCAGCACAGCGAGTAGGCTCACATGTTACACCCAACAATCCGTTCGGGCAAGGCATCCGTTTCGACAAGGTTTCGCAGGAAATAAAGCTTTATGTCTCTGAATTCTCTGAAACCTGATCCTTGGAAGAGGCCCTCCTTCTCCGAATTGAGGCGCAAGCCATATCTCGTGTTGCACTGCAACTCCCACACACGCACACTGAGAAAGTGTTCGCGCACTCACGGATGTGATGTTACGATACAAGTTAGCTAGGTGAGGTTCTGTGCTGTTGTGTTTTGAGCCTTGTGCGCAGAACAGATTGCTGCAACCGTACATGTCAGCTGAAGCACTGCAGAACTGTCATGTAGACAGGAAGCAACAGCGAAGATGCACCATATACGGCTTGTGTTACAAGATGTCTAGAACGGTCACTTGCAGGTACACCGGAGTGGCCAACNNATCATACCATAGCTTCGTTGCGTCAGGTAGGTATGATGGGCCTGACGCCCCTGCGATGCAAAACTTCCTCTAAATGTTTAGCGTACTTGTCAACATGATGCAAGCTGCACTGACAGAACTGAAAACTGTGCAAGGGTTGCGAACCCCCTACCTCATGTTCGAGAGAAGTGCGCACACACACACACACCCACCCACCCACCCACCCACCCACCCACCCACCCACCCACCTATCAGCACCCATCACAAAATGATTAAACCAAACGTTGTCTCCTAGCAGAACCAACTGCAATCCCCTGGTGCACTCACCATGGGGCCGGGGTCCGTGCTGAAAGAATGAAGATTTCGATATGCAGCTGCCGATACCGGTCAAGCGAAATGGTGAATGTTTGGAGTTTCGGGCTGCTTTTGGCGGCTGTCTTGTGCTAGTCTTGCTGTCTTCATCAGTACTCGTCTGCACTTCAAGCCGGGTACAACAGGAAGTCTTGATCCGAATATGCAGCGTGCACGTGCACTTGCTCACTTTATTCAGCGTAAACCTGAGCCCGGCACAGAAAACCACAGCTGGACGGCTGAAAACTGAAAAACATATCTGCCAGCATCCATCTAATTTGCTGTGTCTGTCTGATTACATGTTTTCAGCCTTCCAAAACATGTTCAGAATTGGCAAACAATGTTCAGTGAATTCTTTTTTCGTTCACCATCATGGCGCAGCTGTCTCTGCAGCAGCCGCAGCAGCAGACTGAAAGTCAGCGAAATCGTCGAACTCATCTGCCTGTGTCCAGGAGGAAGGCTCGAACCAGGAATGAAAGCTGTCTGAAACCTTCCCGTATGGGCATCAAAGCCGCTCGCCTCTGTAGCTTTGCATGCCTCAGTGATTCATGAAACCAGGCACAACAAGCTTGAAGTCTTTATTTGCTGCCATGGCCTGCAGAGGAACACTCGCAGATGATGGTGGTGGAGCCTGGGTGACATTCACCCCTAGCCCGAGAAGTCGGTCGCGGCACACAATCTCGCTGGCACTAAGATGCCTGCTAGCCTGCCATAGCCGCTTGCAGTTTCACTTGCAGCTTGCTCCCTTCTCCTGTCAAATAATTCCGTCGGCATGTCTGTTCGGATGTAACTTTAAATGCCTGCCGCTTCTTCCGGGCAAATTCACCTCGGCTTCCAATGAATTTCAGAGCAAAACCAAAAACAACACAATGTATAAGTATCCAGAAACTGCCGTGGAATGACCGACGAGTTTGCAGCACCGGGTGGCCATCAATGTTTGTCCGTCTTTCAACGACAAATCTTTCCTTGCAACACAGAACTTTCCAAAATTTTCCCGCACAGTTGAAACCGGAAGGAGAGTCGGTCCAAGCAGCTGTGGCAATGCCTCCATTGCCGCTGCTTCTTTCTCTTTGTCCACCCATGTCGCCTCAGGGGTGTCACTGACTACCTTAGACCAGACAGGAAATGATAACCGCGCGTGACCAAGCCTTGAAATCTGCTAAGCACGCATTGAAGTCAAAAGCATCGCCTCCTCAGATGTTGGCGCAAAACAACTAACTCATCAATGGTCACTGATTTGCATCTTGCCCGTGGCGATACTTAACCAAAGATCTGCTTGCAAATTGGTGCACTGTCGCTGAAACCGAAGCCAATGAAGGCATGGCGCGCTCCGTTCACCTGTGCATCCGAAACATCTGGAATCTACAACACTGGGAACATTCAGCTTCATGGCGCTGAGGCCATGGCAATCTTCAAGACCCAATACCGGCTTGAATCCACGACCCGCTCCACGTACTGCTCGTACTCACCATTGGGGATGACCTGTGGTGCTTGCTAAACATCAATGCCAAGCATCCAATCTTGTTCCCAATGTCGTAGCACCACCGGAATCTTGGGTTCCGCATTGGGTTCGAAGTGGCGCTGGGACAAAGAATTTCATTGAAAAACCTGTTCCAATCGGATATCCCTCGCATGATGTGTTTGCCCAAACGCCATTTGCGTATATTTGCGTCCCTGAACAGACTCGCGTTGCGAAAAGGAAGCATGATGTCCGAATGGCAACACATTGCTGAAAGCTAAAGGCTTGCCAGACAATCCACGATTGCTTACACTTTGCACTGCCTCGCGTGGCCTGGAAAGTCGCGCAGTTTTGTGGGCATGCAGAATGACCGTTTGCGGCAAAAAACAATCTTTGGAGCGGGTTGCATCGAATGCACATGGCCGAGCGGCATGCCCAAGGCAACAAGCCCATGGGCTGCCCATGGGGCCCATGCTGGTCGACGGCAAGCTGTCACGCCAACATTTGGCCGAGGCAGCAATGCGATGGGCAAGGGCATGCAAGCATCGGCCCGTAAAGGCCCAAAGACGCTGCGTCCTCAGTATGCCCTGAAAAAATTCTGTTCCAAACGCAAGGGAACCCAGGTCCCTGTGCAAACAGCTCGTGTGGACATGCTTATATTGGGCGACAGTCTGCGGCCACAAGAATTTCGAAGCAAGCGTTGCGGTGATCGGCGTTGTTCGGGATCCAACAGCTACCCGGAGAACCCCGAGGCCAAGATTCACAAGTCCCCTCCAGTATGACTATGATGTCTCTTCCAGCCGTGCTAGGCTATGCAAGATTCGTGACGACAAACGCAAGTACGTTACCTGGGAACAAAAAATGAAGGATGAGAAGCAAGCTTGTCCGTGCATGCGGATAATCGAATGCCTCCCCAATTACTGCTGGTGGTTTTAGTGCCTGTATCAGTTTCCTGCGTCCGCATGATGACATGGAGGTTGTGGGACCATATGGCAATCATAATATGTTGCCCTAGGTCAACCGCGCTTCAAAATCAAGAAAACGCTTGTCTTGCAGAGTGGAGTGGTCGTTTTGTCCGCGCCGGTTCTCAAGGTGTTGACACGTTCAATCAACTGCACTTCGCACGCATCAAGCGCCGCATCCGGCGCATTCGTGAGCAACATTTCGTGCATATCAACAGCGTGCTACCTTTCACTCTGCTTGAACTTGAGCGAGCACTACTCGGTGTCGATAAGATTGCTTATGAAGCATTCTGCGTTCATTTGCCCTGGTGGCGGCATGCCATCCTTCATTTTCACTTGTGCCGAAGTCTCTGCTGCATCCCATCCGTGTGGAAGCACGGACTTGTTGTTCCGTTGCCTGAAGCTACTGCCTCCGCTGATCGTGATGGTTATCGTCCCATCACTTTGACATGTCGCTTTGCAAAGAACCTGGAGCGGCTTATTCTAAAATAGGGTTTAACCGGATGTGGACCCTGTGTTTGATGAAAGCCACGCGGGATTTCGTTTTGGATCTGATGCGCCAATATACGGCTTACTTGAAACACACGAATGCGCCGGACCTGAGCGAGGTCTTTGACATGGCCGACCCGGAGGGGTGGAGCCGTTTGCCGCCGTGCAGCTGAGCCGGTCCTAACACGGGACCGCACGTCGCCTCCTGACAACAAGGCCTTGCCGGACACGACTGCTGCGGGAAAAAGGTGTGTTAAACAAACAAATGCGTTGAGTAAAACATACGGGCAAATGTTCTGATGAAGTTGCTGTCCAGGAAAGGCATGCTGCTAATCGCCTTTCTCCACGTGCTAATATCTGATCGACATGCTCCTTCCAATCCAAGTTTTGTTGCAAAACAGCCCGTAGGTAGATGTATGTTTGCACCAAAGGCACATGGTGGGTACCCAAGAAATGCATTCTGGCATCACGTCGACGACTGGGACCGAAAAGCAGCATGACGGCGGTTTCTATGCACCAACAGCGCAACTGATTTGGCCCACGCGTCTGCTGCATCCAACGTCCGTCGGAAATCACGAGGGCATCAACTGTTAGAGAAAAAACCACGCAGAACCGCACCCTGACCAATACCATGTTAAACATCCCAGTCATCGGACATAGTTGATTGAATCCGCGCTAATGCCGTCCGATCGGAAATGAGGTCATCAATCAAGTGCCATAACCCATCTTGGACTCCGGCATGGTATAAGCGTAACAATGCCCCATGTTTCCATGTAACGTCGAACGCTTTGCGTATGTCTAGGAAAGCACAGAACGTAATGGCATCTCGCCGGTGTGAAGCGTGCCGGGCCCGGCATGGCCCGGGCGCGCCCCAACGCAGTGTGACCAACGGCCTGTTGGACCGCGACTGAAAGCACTCTCCACCAGCGGCGCGCCCACGCGGCTCAAGCGGATGCGCGCACAGCCGTAGGGCTCTGAGCGCTCGGAGGGCGGCGAGGCGCCTGACCAGCATTACTGCATCGGTGCTCCACCGCCCACCTCGCAGCCGAGCACGCATAGGGCTTGTGCGCCGCTCAGGGTAGGTGTCGTGTTTGCGCCGCAAGGCGGTGCGCAGGACTGCGCCATCCTGCGTGGCCGTGCCGGAGTGTGGCTCGCCCGCTCGTGTGAGAGGCGATACGAGGGTCGCATCGCAACAGAGCGCTCTGCCACTGGCCGCGAGCGTTTGCGGGTCTCCGGTGCAAGGGCCCCTGAGGAGGAATCCTGCTGGCCTGGGCGTGTGCGCCAGCAAGGGGCGGGGACGCGTGTGCTACTCCGTGGCTTGCTAAAGAAGGGCACAGACAAGGTCGGTAGGGGATTGCCCGAGCGAGGCCTCCAATTCGGCGAGCTCCTGTTCGCCACCGGCCGCCACGCATGCCAGGAGCTCCGACACAGCTTCTATCCACGCAGGTGGGCGAACGGCGCGGGCTTGGGAACGGCTCCGACTCCACAGCAATGCGACCAGCAACGCCCCAAGCAGCCCCACATGCACAGCCAGCCCCAGCACGCAAAGCAGGGCCCCCACCCGGGGCGGGAAGTACCGCGGCGCTCCGACAACACAGGTCAGCGCTGCGTGCACGGCGGCTTCGCAGCAAGCCACAGGCAACTAGGAAGCTGCATGCTTCGGCATAGTATTATTCATACAGACACGCAGCTCCGACGCATGGATGTCCGCTGCTCATGGCCCCGCGGGGGCCCTGCTGTAGCTGTCCGCGGGTGAGTTAGGTTGTTTGGGTGTTCGCTGCTCACGACTCCTGCGTCTCTGGGCACGTCTTATTCGCTTGTCCGGCAAATGTTTAGCTAGACGAATAGTTGATTTTGCGACTATTTTGCGATAAATGTGCAAGAAGTTGTGTGTGTGGGTGTAGCTCATCCAGCCACTTGTGGGATTGGACCGTGTACGGCTTCATCTGTTGCGTTGGTTACGGCAAGTGAACATGGTGGTTTGGCAGCATTCGCATGCAATGTACTCGGCGACGCTGCGTGCTACGGAGTCTTGCGCCTAGCATGCTGAGTTGCAGCCGTGGGCCGCACTCACACCACAGTTTACAGACGGCACCTTTCCCCTGTTTCCTCGCGGCTTTGGAGATCCCGTCAGTGTGGGCATCATTGTTTCAGCGATGGTCGCGCAGCATCCGTACCATGCCGGTTTTTTGCATGTGACCCTGACACTTTACGCCATGCATTGCTCGAATGTAGCGCGCACGCCGCATCCAGACGTAGATGGCGATCTCAGGTTGGCATGGACCCAGTCCTGTGTTTGCGAAGTTCATTCAATGCGCAGCATCCGGTTTGGTGGGACGCTTTGCGACCGCATCTCGAGAACTCAAGAAAGGTAATCACTGAAGCGATGATCCGCTTCCCTGGCAATGCATTCAGACCTCCCTGCAAAGTCCAAGCAAGTAACAGTTTGAAAAGGCATGTTGCAAGTCAGCTGCAGTGCATGGCCGAATCGCCCTGTCATCATCTGTAAGCATAGCTGTCCATTTAGCATTGCCATTTGGAAGCTGCCGGCAGCCACTCAGAATGGAACGGTAGTGGCCTGCCCAAGGATGCAATCCAGTGTGGATAAGAACCGTCACGAGTCTGTATTTCAGCCACTTTACTTGCAGTCCTCGAGCACTCTCAAAGAGGGGCAGGTCAAAAGTTGCTCCAACCCCGAAAGAAAAAGGAACTAAATCCTTGTTGACCGGCCTATGACTGTCTTTCTGAGACCATCGCTTTAATTGAAAGAAGAGCACAATCGGAGCCTCGCGTAGAGCATGTGGGTAAGGTTGCATGTGCCACTGTTGAATGCTTGCCTGCAAACCATGCTGATGAATTTCCAAAAGGATTGGCTGCTGAGTGTGACCTGAGTCATGCACGAAGGTAAGAACACCAAGGCTTGTGCGGGCCTGCCACTGTCCATTGTAAGCAACTGGCGTCGCATACTCAAGCATGTAAACCAAAAACTCGGCTGCATCCTGCTGACGAGTGAGGTCCAATCGCCACTGTCGAAGAAATTGCAATCAAAACTGACTTTGTAGTAAACAAGTGCTGCCAACCTGACGTAGATAACCACATGGTTCCAGCAGCCTGCCAAGAAAGCATGATTGCTCCAGGTAGGTGTCATGTATCATGCTAAACCAAATGAACATCTGCAAGGTGGCATGCACATAACATAGGTTCCCGGGATTCCGAAGACTGAGACGAAGAAAAGGCCTGGAGCATCCACGAAATAGAGTCCAACTCAGCTCGTGGTGGTCTCGGCACTCTCCTTTTCCGTGGCCTCCACCGCTTCCGGCACTGTTGGCTCGACTCGGATCGCTGGAGATTTGGGAGCTGGCTGGATCCTCCTTCCCTGCCTCGAGGGGCTCATCCTTGGCTCCTTGTCCCGGCCTTGCCCTTTGCCCTGTTTGCCCCGGCCCATAGCCATTTCCGGTGGTGGGAAGTGCTCTGCCAAAACCTTCGCCAGAGGCTGGCGCTCCATCTTGGCTGGGCGGATTCGGAGCTTGAGAAGCTGGGAGCTGGCGTTGAAGCATAGCAAGGACAGTGCC